CGCGGGAAACCTCGCGGGGGGTCGCATCTCGTCACCTTCCTCCCTTTTCCTGTCCGACTGCTCACTCTACTACAGAATCCCTTCGTCTTACGTTCAAACGTTTCTTAACCGTTGGGTGTTCGTGTTCGTAATTACCAAAGACTACGTAATCGACGCTTTTTGCAATGTAAGATATCCAAATCTATATTTTCCTATAAGTCACTAGATTTGTATCTTATCGATCAAATTATTCCTAGATCAATTAAGCTTTCTTCGCGAAGAATAAAGATAGAATTTAAACGAACTCTCGAATACTAATGGCTGAACTCCGTCGAAGCAACGACGATATTTTTATCAACGTGTACCAAGTGAGATTACAATTTCGTTTAGACACGAATTCACGAAGGATGTACGCGGACACAGGGCTAAAATCACGCCGAGGGATCCGGGCCTCGAGGTAGGGTAGCGATCGAGCACTTGAGCACGAGCTGAGAAGAAATGCGGGGAGAACAATGGACTAGAGGTAACCAGGAGCCGGTGCTGCGTCATCCCGGTGTCTGAGCCCGTCTCCACCGACGCGGTAACGAGGTGCACGTCAAGCAAAGAGCTCACCTTCCTGCGATCCGTCACGAAAACCGACCACCCACGGTTCCTTCCAAGCAAGATCGTGTTACCTCGCGCAATTCTCATCGTCGACGAATTTCAAGATAATCTACGCCCCACGACTGGTAGCCGTTAATTAAAGATAAATCTCACATCATCGATCGAACGACATCTCGAGACTCGACTATCGCAATAGGTACATCGATATTCTCTTATTTCCTGCGTCAAATCAGAGATGGCTCTTTGACGTGCATCCACATGAAGTACATATCCCATGGATAAGAAGAAAATCGGTAGGTTAATGCACGATTTTTAATCCTTCTCGATTAACTTCCGTTCGTTCGTAGACGAGAGACTCCAGAGCATACACAAAAATTTATTCGCAGCTGCTTGATCTTTCCGCGTGGTTTCGCGCCGCACAAGCGACCGTACACACTCGGCCAATGCGTACTTATCAAATGCAGGCGGCATAGTTGGTACGAAACGAGAAGGAGAACGATACATATATAGGTGCACGGTACGTGCAAACGGGAAAAGGACAGGGTAGGGCAAATCACGCGAAACCAAGCGAGATGAGAGAGAAGAACGAAACGGGAAAGAGAGTGGCGTATACTTGGCTACTTGGCATTTACATCCGCCATCCATTTTGCACGCCGGTACTTCAGTCCCTATTCTTTACCTTTAGGTGCCTGCACCCATGTACGAATATACAGAAATGCGCGCGCGCTCGATTGCACGTACACATCGACAGAGCGTCCAACGTATGTCACGTACATTAACACGGATTGCTGCGTTTTTATGTTGCCCGAGAGCAATGCGTGGCGTACACCGTGGCGGGAGAGTGCGTAAGAGAATGCTGGCTACCAGGGGAAAGAAAGGAGGAAGAATCGAGAGGAGAAGAAGCATAGAGAAGAAAAAGGGAAAGAAAAAAACCGAGGAAGGGAGAGAGAACGAAGGGAGAAGAGAACTCGGATGTGCCGTGAAGCAGAGTCGTGTGAGGCGAGGGCGCACCTGGACCTTCTTCTCCATGGGCGTACAAGGGCTCTCACTGCCTTCCACTCCACGATTCAACCACCCAACGGACTGCCTCCAGTTATGTGCACCAAAGTTTCTTCTTTCTTTGTTTTCGCCCTTTTCTTTCTCTCTTTCGCCTGGATCCTTTCTCTCTGTCTCTTTTCCTCCTTCATTTTTTGTCGTTGTTTTTATGTTTTCTCTTTTTCTCAGCCGCATAGATCGCACGAGTGCATTGGAATCTACGCCCGCCGACACAAACGCGTTTTACATCGGCTTTACCAGAGAGAACGACGCTTGGTATTTTGTAAAAACATTGTACTTCTCCGGTGCTACATAAAAAAACGAGAAAGAGAGAGAGAGAGAGAGAATGGAAAATGGTTTGGAAGAAACGATACATTTTGGAGAATCCCCGAGACGAATTCGGAGATCGCAGAAAAGGATATTAAATTTTGAACGATTGGCTGATATTCAAATTTCGTTTTTCGCCGACTTTTGTGTTTTTCTACTTTATGAGAATATGCCTTGGAATTTCAGGTCCGTGTAAAAAACAAAGAATTGGTAAAGCGAGCATCTTAAATAAACCGCCGAGGATATGCTAAAATTAAATTATGCTTTTCTTTGGCATTGGCACGGCATCGAAAGAAAAGGCGGCACGAGTGTTGTCCGAGCGAATCCGAATCGAGGTAGTAGGAAATACTTGGAGACTCGTACATCCGTATGGAAAGTGTAGAGTGAACGCATTACATGCAAGCGACGACTCGTACTCGATGAAGATGTAAGGGCCGCATTGTGTCCTGCACCGTCGAGAGAACTCGAGAATTGTGCCCTCGCCTCACATATGCGATGTGTACATATGCGGAGAGAGGAAGAGAGAGAAACCGGGAACCGCAACTACTAACGTAGGGTAGATCTCGCCGCGGATAGTGCTTTATTTCATCAAAGGGACAACAAGGAAGCCGAGATAACGCCGCATGCTTCACAGAAAGGAGTACTTCGGAATGGAGGAGTATGCGCGGCACGCACGACGTGGCTCGATCATCCATAATCGTGTGCAGACGCAATAACCGAGCTTGCGATACATCCTCCGCAAAATTCCTCAAAGAGGAACACTATATTCTGTGGAGGAACATCGATGCAAGTGACTTTTGTAGGTTTGAAAGAAACTAGAATTCTTGCTGAAAGAATAGTTGAGCTTGCTATTGAAAATAGTCTCTACTCGCAAAGTTCTAATTAGACGTTAAGAAAGGTAAGTTAGGAATAATTATTGCTAGTAAAGTCTGCATAGAAAGTTATAACTATGTCGGATAGGGAAGTGGATGAAGGGATTATAGGAGCAATGAAACAATGTGAGAAGCTGGGGCCGAAAGGGTTGTTTACTCTTACTCATGCGGGTTATCGGAAGTGTCGGCTTGGATCGCTGAACGATCGGAGGATTTTATGCGGGCACTGCAAATTAAATAGTCTATGCAGAACACAATACTCTGCCCATTGTAATGTTTATGGCAAGTTCTCCGATATATGCACGTCGTACAAATATTTTCTTAGAACTGTCACGTTTATTTTAAAGCGACTATTTACCACCAAAAAGGTTAGGATAAAACTTTGTCTTTCTTATATTATAATATAAATAGACATAGACGTTACCTTTAACATCTTGGCATCGGCCAAGATCATATTGATTTGTAAAATTTGCCCGACTAAAGAGATCGACCGTCTCCGGTTCCGATGAAACGGTTCTACAACATGGGTTCCAGATTTCAGGGTGACGATAGAGAGCCAGTGAGAGTGAGAGAGAAAGGTGGAGAGAACAAGAACGTTGCTCGCTATTGTTTTCTCGAGTGGCGCTCGCTGGTTCAATGCTCGCCCGCTCTGGTAGACCGGTACCAGATGTACCCGGACCGCCTGGTTTCAACCGTGATATCACATCACCCCATTCGTCACGATTACGCCTTTCAGCATGCCAAAATGTTTTTCATTTTTCGCATCAAAACCAACATCTTACAAGTCTTCTGATGATAATAACTGAATTTTCCGTTTTAGAAAGGACTGGTCGAAAGGATTTCTGGACATGCAATCGTATCGGAAAATTCAACAAAGAAGATATTTAGCTAACACTAAATCATATATATTTCTTTTCTTCGAGTAAATACAATATAAAAGTCACTACATGTGATGTGCATGATATCATAATGAGAAGGTTTTACGTAGTTTCTTCGCTTAGTTGTATACCAACGATATGTACGAACGACGAGTACGCGGTGCAATCTGTGCAAGCTGTGGTGTAAAGAAAAAGAAGAAATCTATCAAATAGATACGATACAATTTTTCAAAACAGAGTTATTCGTCACAATACTATCCCGTGTAAAAATAATTCTCAATTTCTTCGATATTATTATCTCTTTGTTTGTCAAAATAATCTCGGTGTTTCGGTTAGGACGAGATCTAAAGAAAATGAACGAACAGTTTCAGCTGTTTCATCAAATATTTTGTATTATAATCAATGATTACATATAAATACTACTGTGATTCAAAAAATATGTAACTCGGTCCTTGTACCGACAACGATGAACGATCTCTATTGAAATTTACGTTAAAATCCTTGTTGATTCATTCACCGGCGTATCTGAATGAACTTTTTCGTAACAAAAAAGGACTAAATTGCGCTGATTATCAACAATCGCACGAACTTTGTTTCGACATAATATGATTACTCGAGTTTTGATTGTACAATGAAA